ATCAATATATATATATATTTTTTTTTTTTTTTTTTTTGCTTTTTTTTTTTTTTTTTTTTTTTTTTTTTTTTTTTTTTTTTTTGATGACAGATGAATTATAAGATATCAGGAGATAAGAAAATCTGGAAAAATATTAACATAAGACAAAATTAAAACATATACAAAAATTATGCAATTCTTTAACAAGCTTTTAGATACAAAAATTATTCATTCAATCTTACTGAAATTTTATAAGACAAAAAAATAGAATTTTCATCTTACTTTTATGGACCATAATGAACCAGTGCTTGAAGCATGTCTCTTTCTCTCTCTTTCCCTCTCTCTCTCTCTCTCTCTTTGTCAAGTGTTTCATTGATGTGTTTGAATTTTTTTATTCAAATAGTATATTTTGTTCAAAGGAAAAATCAATAAAACCTGTAGTAAATGATAATTTTACATTGTGCATGGATGCTTTAATGTTGGTGCTTGTTCAAAGTTGGTACACTTGCGCAGCTCTTCTAGCTATCTGTAGAATGAATTTTTCTAGCTTTTCATGAAAAATAATTTCATTAGATTTTAGTGAAATCAGTTACTTTGTTAGACTATGTTTAGATTTGCTTGTGGTATAATTTATATGGAGTTTTGCATTCGCTTTCTTTATCCGGGATTGACAGTTACATGTTTTATGCTTTTTTGCCTTTGTCTACAGATGTCACCCTGAGCTTCAGAGATAACTTGACACTAACCTCTTCACTATAGCCTATCTTCATCGTGTCAAGTTACCTCTGACCACATTCGATTGCCCCCGCCGCCCGCCAATCAAATTTAAAGCCCGCACTCAATGACTCATTGAACGATCTAGCCAATGAACGCGAACGAGTCAAAGCGCACTTTGTTCAAATCCGGACCAATCAAAGAGAAGGCTGAATATCAGGGACTTGCCGTAACCTGTGGGCAGCACGCAAAATACATCATCCCTCAGTAGATAATGATGCAGGGCCTTAAACTGCTCTGGTTTCATTTCCGATGTACTCATATTTTGCAAAGAATCAAGAGATAACTTAACACATTATTTTACGTAGTCACTCGTAGGAGACGCCATGCTTTCTTTGTGTACGGTTATGCACTCGGCACTACTCGGATGTCTCCGCACTCGACAATAACTTTGTTGTTAGTATGGAGCTCGTAGAATCAGCCGAGGATTACCGATTGAGGGTCAACCAATCAGCGTTTTCACCAAACTTTGGTGAAAAATTTTGAAACTTGGATTCAATTGGCTTATATAAACTAGGTCAAACTATTTTCGTCAGAGGTAACTTGACACGATGAAGATAGGCTATAGTGAAGAGGTTAGTGTCAAGTTATCTCTGAAGCTCAGGGTGACAGATGTTGATAACATGATACATTATTACTTATTCTTTGCATTGGAATTCTGTGTCGCTTTCAATTCTATTCGGATACAGCTTTATTTACTCTTATAATGTAATTGCATTAAATTAACATAAATGTATTAGCAGTCTCATAACAAGATAAATGACATGTAGATATCACACGGCCTTTTTAGCTGGACATCCTAAAGCAAAGTTTCTGATGCAAAGTTGATACTTTAGTTATAGCAGCAACTGTTTTGAGTCAGTTAGACTCACCTTAGAGATAAAACGCTTTTAATAAGTTTAAAGTTAAATTTTCATAACAGTTATTTCAACTTTTGCCTTTAAATTTAATGCTTCCCTGGTTTGTGCATTTTTTAATTAGTTGTGTTGAAGCAAAACCTTTCATTCAATTTCACAAGGTGTCCAAACTTGAGTGCCAAGACCCTGATACTCTCTCATGAAACGGTCATTTTTATCCCCAGTGGTTCAGTTTGATGTCTATGTTGTACCCAGTGCCCAGTTAATCCCCCAGCTTTGCTAGAAATGTTGTGTAATTTTTGCCTTCATTGCCAGGGAATGGTGGTATTAACCCTGGCCCCCAGCGGTCTGAGGCTGCGTTCAGACACGTTTTAAATTTGGACTGATTTTATGACTGAAAACTTGTGAAGAGAAGTCCAAGTCAATTTTGCCATGAATTGATGGACTTTTCTTAGGTCTCCAGTTCTCTATTGCTGGGTTCAGACAAATTTTAAAGTTTTAGTAATTTATGGGTATCACATATCACATACAGCTAAGTTATTGTTGCGAGGGAATTCTCTGTCTGAGTTGAAGTGGGGTATTTTTGATACAGAGGACTGTAATAAGGAAACCCCACTGAACCTCAGGTATTCAGAGACCATAAAGAACCAGTGCAGTCACTAAGTCGTTCAGCAAAACATTTCAGCCTAAACCAGACACTGTTAAGAATTTGAGTGAACACAGCATCAAATGTCACCCAGGGATCTTACATATTGATAATTAGGGTTGCTCTAATTAAACACACAACTATAACATTATAAATACAGGTGAAAACCATTCCCGTTTAGAAACATAACGCTAACTCCAAGGTGCTGGGGTGAGACTTTGTTGAATACACCAAATGTTCTGTGAAGCAGAGGGTATTGTATGCTTATCAATAGTTTGACTTGGGTTTACATTTTAATCATTTCCCTGTAAACTTGAGGGAGGGTGTGAGGATTTCAGCCCTGGGCCTTTCTACATAAGTACAGAGATAGAAGGGACAGGCTGGTGCTGTTTGTATTCGATGCATATATTTTTTTACAGGTTGTTTTGTGCTTTGGGTTCAGTTTTCAGCATACAGGTTTTGCTTTACTCTTGTGGTGAATATCACTTTGGGTTTGATTACAAGTATAATGAATGAATATGACAAATTGATATCAGTGGTGGAGAGTTTTTAGATGGTGATTTTGTATTCAAGGGGTATGATTATTCAGTGGAAGGAAAATTATAATTAATCACTTCTTTTTTTTTTGCCATTTTCCAGGAGGGCAAGAAAAAGTTTGACAAGCAGACACGAGCTTTTTGCCAGTCCTTGGAGAAGTTTCTGAATTTAAAGACGAAAGCCACTGACAATGTGTTACAAGAGGTAAATGCTCGCGCTCTCTCTCTCTCTCACACATGCACGCACACACACACACACACACACACACACACACACACACACACACTATGGAATTCTTTATTAAATCTGCTTGTTTTCTCCCCAGGCTGATGCAGCTCTACAGATGGAGAGGAAGCACTTCCAGCAAGCCTCTATGGAATATGTGTTAATGCTGCAGGAAGTACAGGAAAGAAAAAAGTTTGAATTCATTGAAATAGTAAGTATATTTACAAATCAAGGTAGTATAAAAGAAAATAGCAATTTTTACATTGCCTTATAGAAAAATATGTTGCTGTGAAGCGAAATATATTTGTGTCTGCAGTTATGATTGCCCTTGACCAGTTATGTCATCAATAATTTCTAGTGTACAACTTTTGATTATGGACCTAGAAAAGGGCCTGGTTAGGGCTGACTAGAACCATTTGACCATTTTTTTCTCCAATGACACCTTTTAACCTTGGTGTTTGCCTTTAAGTAGCTACAAATGGCCGATTTTCTCCCTCACTAAACTGTACACAGGCAAGTCCATAATTGTCGGTAATCTAAATTAAACATTGATTGTTTACAAAATAAATATTGGGTCTGTAAAGGGGCACGTGTGACTCTCTGTCTGGCCATGACAAAGTCGGTGAACCTGGAAATGTGCAAACCTTTAAAATCGCCTGGGGACCGCGGGATACAATGTGGAGTCAGGAAGGCGTGGATGTTGAAACCAGAAGCCAATAATACCTTCATTTTACATCTGCTTAATACACTGGTGTATTGTTCCCAACAGATATTTTGGTCAGCTTTTGATCAAATGCAAATTTGGAGCAAGGTAGCGGTCAGGTTCATTACTGTGATAAAACGATCAGGAATTGAAAAAAAAAACCCAATTAATAACAGTCTAGTAAAGTTGACTTGGTATTTGTCATGGTGTCTATTACACTTATGATTTTTTTATACCATTTAGTACCTTTTATGCCTTTTCAGTGTTGTAGAATGTCAGGCAGTGAGGTGACAAAAGACCTTGACTGTGTCAACACTGGGTTGACCTCGCAGGTGTTTCTGATACTATCAATGAAACATAGTCACAACTTTCTTTTCACCATTCAAACCAGTTCCCTTGCTTGCGAAAAGTCATTGATCTCCTCTCCCCTGGCTTGAAATGTATCTTTGTATTAAGTCTTTACGGAAGGTTTTCATTTGGAAATATACAGTCCTTTTTATGTGAGGGAATATTTGTTTAGAAGCTTTTATGATCTTAAGAATTATAAAAAAAAGTCAGTTCTTTCAGTGTATTTTGTCTAAAAACGAAGTATGTACGAAAGGGAATAAGTACAGTTCCAGTGGGCATTAATGAAGTTTGGTATAAGATGGAGAATGTGACAATACCCGACTGAGGTAGAGGAATTGTTTACGATGGTGAAATGAGGTGGAAATCCGACCGATTGCATTTCACACAGTGGTGGGTGGAGACCACATGCTTAAGTCAACAGAAAAAAGTTTGATACCAAAACCCGAACTGTTGCCCCATTTATTAATTATTGACCATTACCTGTAGCATAGAGCTCCTCAAGGATATTGCAGTATATTCTGGGTTATAGAAACCAAAGTAATTGTGATTTGTGAATTTGGAAAAAAAATATTTATGCATCAGGATATGACGATCAGACTTATTAAAAAGACGAACACACCAGGTCCTGTAACTCGAACTACAACGAATGAATTTGAAAACAACGGATGCTTGGACTCATTTTCAGGCAATTTTGTGTAGATTGGCAAAAATGTAACACTAGTAACAACAAGGATGTCATAAAATAGTGTGAAAATCTGATAAATGGACCCATTTTAGGACGAGAATTTGAGTTAGTGAACTTAGAAAACTGTACAAGGATGTGAAAGCCAGCCTGGAGTAGGTTTGGATTTCTTAGCTTGAACTGATTTCCAGGATTTCTAGTTTATGGGATAAGGAATAAACAGGATGATGTATTGATATTAATTATTTAAAAAAAAAAAGTGCATAGATTAATTGTATCAGTCTGTTTGAAATGCCAGGAACTGATAACAAAATAGTTGGTTAGTTGTAAACGTGTCAATTTTTTTTTTTATTTTCTTTTTTTTTTTTATGTGTGCATGAGTATGAACTTAAAAGGCTAGTGTATTAAATTTTATAACAGATTCACTGTTGGGGTGAAAATTACTGTAAGGTTTTTTCTAATGTAGCTGAACATCTTATGTTAGACCAAAAAAATTTTTAATGAGTTACATTTGGATGATATCTATTCATACTAAATTTGAATTAAGATTTTGTGAGTATGAACTCAGTTTGCGCAATTTAGTTTAATGTGTAATACTACAATATATGTCTTTTTGTTTCAGTTACTGGGTTTTATGTATGCCTGGCTGACATTTTATCATCAAGGTAAGTCTCCATGCTGTCATTAGAGCTCAGTTCAGAACAGGACTCACTTGGACAGTAGATTGACTAAAATGTGTCATCAGGATTTTTTTCTTCAACTTTTGTTCATGTGTATGCACAGACAGGTATAGTTTTGGGCAAGAAATTTGACTATAAGGCCATGTTCACAACTTTGAAGGGGAGATCTTTTGAGACCAAATTGTATGTATGATAACCCCAACTAGTCTGATAATTTAAGTATTAGTAGGCCTTGTATAATGGACTTTCTATATGACTTCCTTCTATGAAGTATATAACTGAAAAAAAGGAATTTAAAATTTCCTTGATGTTTGTCGGAATATATATTGAGTTCCAAACTCAGAACACGCTCAGCAAGTAACAGTGTTAAGACTTTTGTAGTAATTTGGCTTGGACCATGTCAAGAATTGTTTGAATATGTAATTTTTTCAGCTCATTTAATGAGGTTTGAATATGTTAAATTTGTTGTTTGCTTGTTTTAGGGCATGAAGTAGCTCAGGAGTTTAAACCATACATGACAGAGTTACAAGTTAAACTACAGAAGGTGAGAAGAAAAGAACAAATAAGATTGAAAGAGTAGTTATTAGTTGATGGAATAATGGTTTAGTTTGGTAAATGGCATAATAAATCCTTACAAAATTTTGTTTTCAAATGTTAAAATTTTTTGCAGAATATTTATTTTTTTCATCAAAGCAAAAATATAAACAATTTTTATTTGAGTCTACAGATAGTTAATATTGATGTAAAAAAAGGCAGAACTTTTTTAAAAAAATATTTTCCAGACTCGTGACAACTACGAGACAACAAGGACAGAGGCTGAGACACTAATGAACAAAATGTTGGAGGTGCGTGGCACGGTAATGTGGAGCTTGCTTCTTTGCCTGCTGCCACCAGGGGGTGCTGGGGTACTCTGTCCTTTTTACCACAGCATGCTGGGATACTTCTTTTTGGCTTAACATGCTGGCAGTGCTTCTTTGAAGTATTTGAAGCTGATATTGCAAGCTATTTTCTATTGGGTTTTAATAGTTGGTCAATTGAAATGTAGTTACTTAGAAATAAGGGTGATTTTTAATGCCCTTTTTTAGACATTTCAGCTGGATATGATTTCTGTAGGAAATACTGTTTTTGTTTAGGCTGTGGCATGCAACCTTTTGCTATATAGGTTAAATTGTACGAAAAAGACATGAGACATACAGTTGTTCAGCAAAAATGTTATAGGAATCCAAACTGACTGAGAATTAAACAGCCAAGTCTTATCATCTGCATAGTATATCTGCACCTAAATACCACGTCCTTCTCCTGGTGTAGTCTTCATATAATGTACATCATTTCTGTCTCACATTCACGTTCCAGTCACATTTCAGAACAAAACTCATTGTCACAACTCTCTTCTCCTTTCTCACCATTATTGTTTATCCAGTCTCTTCAAACATGAATAGGTGGCACCATTGTGCAGGTGAACATTGCAGATGCCAAGACAGTCCCGATCCACATTTAGATTATCCCAAAATTCCCCCTGGTGGTGGCTGTTGCTGCTGCTGCTTGCAGCTTTTAAATATGTTATAGATGTTCAAATTTGTGGCTCCTGAACTGGGACGGCTCTAGGAAATATCTGTAAAGATTCCACTCATTACGTAAAGTTTGTCATTAAATTGAAAACTTTTGTGATTACAATTTTCAACTTTGGTAGAAAGGGTTAAGGTTTTTCATGTGTTGGCATGATAGATATTTCCTGGTCTTTGCTATCTAGACGCCAGTTTTAGAGCAACTTCTGTTTACATCTTGTTCAATCGTTTCTTGTTGTAAATGAACTTAACTTGAACATAACAAGTGTTCAGACCAAGTGCTCCAAGATTTCATTGCCATTGCAGACATGCTGTACTTTTGGAATAATGTTCATATTTATTTGAAAGAAAAACTGTTGCCAAAAATCTGTCATTCTGGAAGTTTTGAAAACTTGGAGCATTTTTTTTACTAAGGTTACATTTTACTCTTAAAAATGCAATGTATTTTCCTTCAGTTTTACAAGGCTCTGATCTCTAGTTCCAGTGCTTTTCCTGCCTTTCCGAGTACAATTTTATCAACGTTTCCCACATCCTGTACCGTCCATTTTACTGCAATGGTTTGCTATTTGGGGCTTGCTGTTGTTGCACAGAGTGTTTGAATTGTTACAACTACTCTCATTGGTCAGTTTGAAGCTGTTATGGCTGCTCTCATTGGCCATAGGAAGTTGTGCATTTGGAGCCACGATGTGTCACTACTGAAGTTTTCTATTTTTCACTGTTGGAGCTGGTCACAAAAAATAAAAATAATATATTAGAATTGGAAAAAAGATAATAAATATTAAATGGGATTTATGTGACTGTTGGTATCAACACTTTCAAAAATTCAATATTCAGGTTTTCAATTTTTTGTGACAAGAATAAGCTTCAATGATGCACATTTCTTTACATTTCTTACATATTTGATATCCTTTCTACACATAATTATTGGGATTTCCTGTCATTGTTTTTAAGTGTTAATGTTTTGTATGTTAGAAGAATTAATGTGTAGTTTAAAAAAAAGGTTTTTAGGTCTAGAAAATATGGCTTGTCAATACTGCATGAATTTTTTCATGATGTTCAGATTGACTTCAGTATGCCATGATGATAAATGTTGATTTTTTTAAAGGATGACTTTTACGGTAATGATATATTTCAAATATAAACACTATGTGAATGATTTGTTGAAAGAACAAGAAGATAAAAATTAATTAAGCCAAATAAAAAATTCAAATGTAACTGTTTGGAAAAATAAAATTTTCAAAATCTTACTTCTCAAGCATGTGATTACTGAAACGCATTTAAATTTTGGTCGGGAAGCAAAAATGAAAAGAACAAAAGAAATGTAATAGTTCTGGCAGTGCAGGTGCTTGGATTTTGTTTGCATGCAATGTGTGTATTATTTTGGTTCTTTTAATTGTTTGAATTGATTAAACATGATTAATGTTGGCATGCTGAAATGTTGCTGCTGGCGTGGTGGTGTATTGTTACTGCAAGCATTGTTTTTGTATTGCTGGTGTTGTGTTGTCACTGCTGTTATTGCTGAAAAAACCCATTGCCTCTTTCTAATTTAAATTTTTTAATTTCATTTTTTAGAAACCAAACATAGAGCCAACCACCAACAAGAACTACACGAGACAGGGGTACCTTTTCTTAATGGAAAAGAGTAGGTGTTTTTGTGTTTATTTGTTATGATCTAGATTATTAAGACATGAGATTTTTCTACTTAATCACAAAGTAGTTTTTTTTTCAATTGAATGCTGATGGGTCCTAAGGCGGCCTCCAAGCACTGTCTGATTAAGTGTATGGAACCATGGTAAAATATTGATTTTTAATAAATGTATATTTATATTATTTGTTTATTGTACCACCAGCGTTAGCGCTGGCGGTACACATGGTTTCGGTCCCGTCCGGATCGTTCCGCCGGCTCCGCCGGCTCCGCCGGACGGCTACCGTTACCGCTTCTCCTCCTAGACGGTAAGGGCCCCCGTACCCATCTCATGGATTTAGGTCACCTATAATCTCAACTCGTTCCACGTAAAATTTGGGCTTTGTCGGTATTGGGGTCTGGGTGTGGCACTCATTGCAATGCACCCTTGTCTAAAAATGGCAAAATTAAATGCTAATTATCTACCCTACGGAAGGAGTTATGGGAAAAATTTCTATAGACGGCTTTCCAAAAGTCATATGTGTAGATTTCAAATATACCCTTGGATTTGACCTTTGACCTTTACTTCAAGGTCAAATGGGCCAAAATTTTCAAAAAAATGAAATTTTTTACGAAAAAAATTTTTTTTGCCCTGTTATTCAGACACCACACAGACTTAACCAATAATATTATTGGAAGGTGTTACCCTTCAGGTCATCTTTCATCTCCATGAATTTGGGGTCAATCGGTGCATTTTCACGGGAGTAGCGGCCATAAGATACCGAAACTGAAAACTGTCTCTAATTCGGGAACCGTTAATGCTAGAGACCCATTCTTTTTTGCATTTTGTAGAGCATGTAAAGCCCAACACTGGAGGTGGTCTCGGTTTTTTTGTATTCCATACGGTTTTCGAGTTACGCTGTATCAAAAAGTACATATTGGTGGTAAAAGCAAAATGTGCAGTACGGTAATGGATAATAAATTTTGAACTCTGGAAAAATAAAACATAAGGCTTGGCAAAGCAGACAACTTGTGTTCAAAAATGACATTATTTCATCAAATTTGAACTTCTGAAACTTCAGAGCACCTCCTATTTCAAGAATTTTGACCAAAATGACATTTTCTTTATTTTAATTAATTTTTTCTGTACGAAATTTAAGGCACATTATGGTAACTCCAAAATTATAACATTTAGTCCCTTATATCTCCAAAACTGGCAGAGATAGGTCCATAGTTACTATTGAAGTTGAATAGGAAGTCATATACTGGCAATCTTACTATGACCTTGAAATTGACCTTTGACCTACTTTTCACCATGAACTGAACTTTGCAAATTTTGCTTCCCTTTTATCTCCAAAACTGGCAGAGATAGGTCCATAGTTACTATTGAACTTGAATAGGAAGTCATATACTGGCAATCTAAATGTGACCTTAAAATTGACCTTTGACCTACTTTTCACCATGAACTGAACTTTGCAAATTTTGCTTCCCTTTTATCTCCAAAACTGGCAGAGATAGGTCCATAGTTACTATTGAACTTGAATAGGAAGTCATATACTGGCAATCTAAATGTGACCTTAAAATTGACCTTTGACCTACTTTTCACCATGAACTGAACTTTGCAAATTTTGCTTCCCTTTTATCTCCAAAACTGGCAGAGATAGGTCCATAGTTACTATTGAACTTGAATAGGAAGTCATATACTGGCAATCTAAATGTGACCTTAAAATTGACCTTTGACCTACTTTTCACCATGAACTGAACTTTGCAAATTTTGCTTCCCTTTTATCTCCAAAACTGGCAGAGATAGGTCCATAGTTACTATTGAACTTGAATAGGAAGTCATATACTGGCAATCTAAATGTGACCTTAAAATTGACCTTTGACCTACTTTTCACCATGAACTGAACTTTGCAAATTTTGCTTCCCTTTTATCTCCAAAACTGGCAGAGATAGGTCCATAGTTACTATTGAACTTGAATAGGAAGTCATATACTGGCAATCTAAATGTGACCTTAAAATTGACCTTTGACCTACTTTTCACCATGAACTGAACTTTGCAAATTTTGCTTCCCTTTTATCTCCAAAACTGGCAGAGATAGGTCCATAGTTACTATTGAACTTGAATAGGAAGTCATATACTGGCAATCTAAATGTGACCTTAAAATTGACCTTTGACCTACTTTTCACCATGAACTGAACTTTGCAAATTTTGCTTCCCTTTTATCTCCAAAACTGGCAGAGATAGGTCCATAGTTACTATTGAACTTGAATAGGAAGTCATATACTGGCAATCTAAATGTGACCTTAAAATTGACCTTTGACCTACTTTTCACCATGAACTGAACTTTGCAAATTTTGCTTCCCTTTTATCTCCAAAACTGGCAGAGATAGGTCCATAGTTACTATTGAACTTGAATAGGAAGTCATATACTGGCAATCTAAATGTGACCTTAAAATTGACCTTTGACCTACTTTTCACCATGAACTGAACTTTGCAAATTTTGCTTCCCTTTTATCTCCAAAACTGGCAGAGATAGGTCCATAGTTACTATTGAACTTGAATAGGAAGTCATATACTGGCAATCTAAATGTGACCTTAAAATTGACCTTTGACCTACTTTTCACCATGAACTGAACTTTGCAAATTTTGCTTCCCTTTTATCTCCAAAACTGGCAGAGATAGGTCCATAGTTACTATTGAACTTGAATAGGAAGTCATATACTGGCAATCTAAATGTGACCTTAAAATTGACCTTTGACCTACTTTTCACCATGAACTGAACTTTGCAAATTTTGCTTCCCTTTTATCTCCAAAACTGGCAGAGATAGGTCCATAGTTACTATTGAACTTGAATAGGAAGTCATATACTGGCAATCTAAATGTGACCTTAAAATTGACCTTTGACCTACTTTTCACCATGAACTGAACTTTGCAAATTTTGCTTCCCTTTTATCTCCAAAACTGGCAGAGATAGGTCCATAGTTACTATTGAACTTGAATAGGAAGTCATATACTGGCAATCTAAATGTGACCTTAAAATTGACCTTTGACCTACTTTTCACCATGAACTGAACTTTGCATATTTTGCTTCTCCTTTATCTCCAAAACTGGCAGAGATAGGTCCATAGGTCCATAGTTACTATTGAACGTGAATAGGAAGTCATATACTGGCAATCTAAGTGTGACCTTGAAATTGACCTTTGACCTACTTATTATCATGAACTGAACTCTGCTCATTTCTTTTTCTTTTAACTCCAAACCTGGCAGAGATAGGTCCATAGTTACTATTGAAGTTGAATAGGAAGTCATATACTGGCAATTTACTGTGACCTTGGAATTGACCTTTGACCTACCTTACAATGAACTTAACTTTGATTGTACCATTTTTAGTTATATATATATTTTTTGCATATTTTGAAAATTCTTGTTGATTGCATTTTTACAGCTTGGCAAGCACAAGACTGGTGGCTGTGTTCCTTATTTTGTATATGTGGGGGTCTATACGAATGCGCTTGCTCCAGCTGGTGGTACAATATTCGGAGGCGGTATCGCCTCTCTGATCCTCTAGTTTGGTTCCCTTTCTGTGATGAAGCAGTAGGCTTGACATAACAAGATAGCCCTATGTGTGGTTGGAGTCATTGGCTTTAAATCTAGAAATTATGATCCTGTTTTCCTACACTCCAGAGGCACTGGGCACAACATCATGGACCAAATACTACTGTATGTATCAGAAGAACAACAAAATACTGACCATGATCCCCTTCAACCCTGTGCAGAATGCCAAATTAGTAAGTATTTACACATAATGGTTTGAAGTGTGTACCTGTTATATGCGACACATTAAATTTTGTGGACTATTCATTGTTTCAAAATGCCAGAAGCTGAAGGTTTTGGAAATTCTAGTTCATTGTGAGATTTTTTTTTTTTTTTGATTTTTCAGTTTGACTAATATGCTAAAATTATTTAAGCTGTTTGTGTTGGAGTTGATAATAGTTACAGAAACATAAAGGATTTCAGAATTTTTCTGTTTAATCACTTTTACTGTTTTATTTTGTGGAAAACTTAAGCTGTTTAATCAACCACAATTTTCTGTTTTCTTCAGCCAAGCAGTACAGAAACCATGGTTTTAACCTCCTGTGTCAGGAGAGCAACAGATTCCATAGACAAAAGATTCTGTTTTGACATTACTGCACAAGACAGGTAGGTTGCCTTTTCAAGTCCTGTCTTATCCCCTCTCCTTTTGTTTGATTGACAGAAAGACATGGATTATAAAATTGTTGTGCTTGACTTAAATTGAAAAAAAAGCTATGCCTTGCACTATTGTCAAATGTATTTTTTGAAAATACCTCTATACTAAAAATAGGTAAATGCAAACTTCCAAAGCTGTATTTAGGGAGGTGGGTTGCAATATTAGTACCTGCCAGCAGACAATCTATTAAATTTCAAACTTAAAATTCAATCATTTATGTTAAACCATTGTAGACAAGGGACATACACCTTACAAGCTCTATCAGAAGAAGATAGAAGTCTGTGGCTGGATGCCATGGACGGGAGAGAACCTGTAAGTACAGATTATAAACAGAATATGCTTGGTATCCTGTTGAATCTTATGAAGCTGAATAAAAAAAAATAGCATCAATTTGTTTTATTTTATTTTAGTATTTGTTTTATTTAATAACACATATCCTCTTTTATTTCAGATATATTTAATGCCAAAACAGAAAGTAGAAGAGAGTAAGTGATATTTTATGTCAGTTTATTATCATTATGGTGTCAATGATTTTAACAGGGCTAAAACTAAAAAGCAAATTGCGGAGTGTATTTTTAAGGGATAAGAAAGATGCAAACAATTTATTTGAACAAAAACAGAGGGGCTCTTTTCTAAGGAATGCATTCAAGGTATCCTCTACAATCTTACACTGTTCTGTTTCAGGTTCATTAGATGATACTGGTTTCCTATTTATTCAAAGATGTATAGATGCTATAGAAGCAAGAGGTAGGCTAAATGACACACCTATGTTAAAGCATCCTATAAATCTACTAACTGACACACCTATTTTAAAGCATCCTATAATTCTACATACTTACTAATTTAATCAATTATAGTTACCTGATTGAATATGTTTTTTCCCAAAATTCTTGGACATGCTTTAAAATATTAAAATATCATCATTCTGTGTTCATATATTTTTGTGTTATGTTTGTAATCATCTGATATAAGATTATATTTTCTTCTCTTATCAGAACTATAATGAATATAACAGTATTGAAATTATAAAGAGTGTTTTATAGTAAACCTGATTTCCACTTCAGGTCTTGAGGACCAAGGACTGTACAGAGTTGTAGGAGTCAATTCTAAGGTTACTAAACTTGCACAAATGGGCTTAGGTAAGCAAAGTTTCACAAAACTTTGTATTTTTATTTATTGCAAAAATTAGATTTCTTCATATTGTTTTTTTGTTTTCATGCAAAATATAAAGTAACAACTAGTTCTTTAACATTTTTAATGATACTTAAACTAGACACATGAATATTCCTGTTATTCTGGCTTAACAGATAGGCGGAAACTGGACAAGTTAAACTTAGATGATGAAGAAATTAAGACCATTACCAGTGCACTCAAGAATTACTTCAGGTAAGGGAAATATCTGGATCTGATTAATGTAAAAAAAGGCTGAAAGAAATCTTGAATGTGTACTTACCTTTTACTTTAGGAAATGTATGGAAAGAAAAGAATGAAAGAATGTCCCTTAACGATTTGGTGAAAATCTTAATTTTAGTCTTTGTCACTCAGAGTCTTTATTATTCAGTTAATGTGCCTTTCTGTCATAATTACATTTATCGGCATTTGACAAGAACCTTCTCCTTAATTAACCCATTGCTTAATTTATTTATTTATTTGCTTTCAGGTCCCTCCCAGAGCCTATAATGACATTTAAACAGCACACACAGCTCCTTGCTGCTGCCAGTATGTTCCACAGATTTGTAATCTAATCTAATAACTTTAGTTTGAACAGTTTTTGCTACAATCTTTTAAGCCTTGTTTTAGTAGCCTGTCTTTTATTTACTGGCGTTTGGCATTGTTACCATGCATTCTGTTAGAATATAAGCAATTTTGACAAGTTTTGATTTTGAATTGCAGTGTTCTAAACTATAATATTATGATATTTCATGTTCTTTAGATACCACTCTTTTTCTAACAGAGTCCGTGAGTTTTTAAGGAAAATCCTGGATAGGAAACCTTTAAAATTCTAAAGCTGAAATTTTGTACCTTTCAGAACTGGAGCAGAAGAAGGATCGTGTGAGAGAAATCCACAAACTAGTCCACCAACTCCCAGAGGCCAACTTTAAATTTTTACGGGTTCTTATCAAGCATCTCAGAATGTAAGATAATCATTTATAAGTAATGAAGACATTATTGTACCACCAGCTTAGGCACTGGCGGTACACATGGTTTTAGTCCCGACCCGTATGTTCCGCCGGCTCCTGCGGCTCCGCCGGCTCCTGCAGCTCCGCCGGCTCCTGCGGCTCTGCCGCCAAGTCACCGTTACCGCTTCTCCTCCTAGACGGTAAGGGCCTCCATACCCATCTCTTGGATTTAGGTTCCCTATAATCTCAACTCGTTCCACGTAAAATTTGGGCTTTGTCGGTATTGGGGTCTAGGTGTGGCACTCATTGCAATGCACCCTTGTCCAAAAATGGCAAAATTAAATGCTAATTATCTCCCCTACGGAAGGAATTATGGGAAAAATTTCTACAGACAGCTTTCCAAAAGTCATATGTATAG